TTATTCTGAACCATAAACAATGCCCGTTTCTCTTACTAGAGTGTGGGCCACTTGAGGTTAGAGTGTGTGTTTCATTTCTGCACCCCTAGCTACTAACACTGTATAAGGTGCATGGTTCATTTTTCATCCATCCATTCAACAAATATTTGATCGTCTACTAGAGGCCAAGCACTCTTCCAGCATGGCGCTAAGGAACTCTACAAGACAGGTATACTAGGCATTCTGCTGTTGTATCTCTGCTCCAAATCCCACCTTTGTTTTTTTGAGATGGAGTCTCACTCTGTTGCCCAGGCTGGAGAGCAGTGGCACAATCTCGGCTCACTGCAACCTTTACATCCTGGGTTCAAATGATTCTCCTGCCAGCCTCCCAAGTAGCTGGGATTACAGGCACCCACCACCACATTCGGTTAATTTTTGTATTTTTAGTACAGATGGGGTTTTGCTATGTTGGTTAGGCTGGTCTTGAACTCCTGACCTGAAGCAATCCTCCTGCATCAGCCTCCTAAAGTGCTGGGACTACAGGTGTGAGCCACCGTGCCCAGCCTCAGCACATATATTCTGACAACACACACTACTTCTTGTGGTTATTACCTCTGTCTTACTTCAGTGTTCGCTTTTAGATTTTTCTTCTTCCTCTGTTTTATTTAAACTAACTCCTTTTATTAAATGACACCTCTGAAATATCTAGTGCAGTTCCTGTTCTCTTGGCTGGACCCTGACTGATGCCATGGGGAAGGCCCTTGGGCTCGTGGACCTTAAATTCCAGGTGAGGAAGGTAGACAACAAACCAATAAAAGAAGGGTAGTAAAAAGTGTTACAGTGAAAAATTAGGGTAATGGATGGAGCCTGGGCTACTTTAGATTAGTTGGGGAAAGTCTGTCCAAGAAGGTGACATTTAAGCAGTGAAAGAATTAAGTTTCCACCCATGTAAAGAGCTGGGGAAAGATGCCCCAGGGACAGAGACCAGTCAGTGCAAAGGCCTTATGATTTGAGTGGGCTTGGATTCAAGGATCAGAAGGAGTGCTGGCGTGGGCAGAGTAGGGTGAGGGACGGGTGCTGCGGAGGAGCGGAGCTGAGAGTCAGGCAGGGGCTAAATCACATGGGCCTCCTTAGCCAAGGATTAGTTTCTCTTTTTTGTGTTTTTTAGAAATTCTGAATGTGTTGAAAAGGCTTTAGAGGGATTTAAAATATAGGAAGTAACAAGGTCTGACTTAGATTTACAAAAGATCTCTCTAGCAGCTGACGGGGGATCATCTATAGGGAGCAAGAGCAGAAGCTCTATTCTCCTCAGGGCAGACCATAGACACCTTTCAAGGACGAGGAAAGTGAGGCCCAGAGAGTTGACAAGATCTGTCCTAGCTCACTCCATTTTAGACTTTTGGTTCCCAGACCAGTGGCCCTTTGTGGCTACACATTCTCTAACTGAGGCACAACTGACCCGGGTTCCGGGTGAAGCTTCTCAGCCCGGTTTGCAGAGAAGACGAAGCCCTTGGAGCAGCCAAGCACCCGCCCTTGACAATACTCCTGCTTCATCACAGGTCCTGTTGTGTCCAGCTCATGATTTATCAAGGTACACCAGTCTGGTCTGTCACAATAACAGGTGGGGGAGCCTTGAAAGAAAACAAGGCTCCCTGGGGCCTTCTGCAGATGTTGGTGTGAATTCATAAGTCCCCAAATTTGCATTATTCTCCTTTCTTCTTCCTCAACATCTAGTCCATCACCAAATCCTTCTGGCTTCCCAAACATTTGCTGACTCTGGCCTCTTTTCTTCAGGGTCACCAGGAAACACACCTTCAGGAAGCACCTTTTCTGTTCTATCCCAGAGGGCACCATCACATACACTATGATATGAATCATGACCCCTGGGGCTGTGTGGAGTTTCTGCATCTCTCCCTCCCCACCGTGGCTACCCTCATCCAGCAACCATCCTGCCTCTCACCAGTATTACCGCAGCTGAGACCCAAGTCTTAAGGAAGCTAAGATCCAGGCCAGCAGGGGCCACACAGGTAGAGTGAAGTGATGCTGGTGGGATTTGGGGCTTCCCTTGAACAGGCAGGGCATTTTGGGTAGAAGGGAGGGGTCACTTTGTAAATAGAGGTAGGAGAAAGAGAAGAATATTTCTAAATGCTTCAGGCAACAGGTTTTTGCTTTAGTGAAATAACACTTCCTCCTGCAAACTTTGGGGATGGGGGAAATGGCTGGATGGGTCCTGGGAGTGCTGCTGAGGTGATCTCGGGTCAGAAGTTTTTCTCCACAGCTTGGAAAAAGAGGAGGGTGTAAGACTCCGAATGAAGCTGAGAGATCCTTTCATGCTTGGGAACTGAGAGACCACACAGACACGAGCTTCGGGAGACTCCAAAGCCTGGGACCCACTTCTAAGCTAGCACTGAATTCTGATTGGCTGCCTTTGCCTGCCTCAGTTTGTTCCTCTTACTGATTGGCAGGGTTCTTCTGCCCATGGCAGAACTCTGCTCCAGCCACCGGGTCCTCCCACCTGCCACAGTGTCACCTGGGATTGGCTGGGCTCTGAAAGGCCAGGCTGGCTTGGCTCTTGCCGTCATCAGATTCTTCCTCATTAAACAAATGAATCACAATCCTAATTAATTTGAGCAACAGAATTTATGTAACTACTCCCAGCAGGATGTCTGCTCTCAGATTAATTCCTCTCTCTGGGAAATTCCAGCCTTGCTGGTCAATAAACCTTAATGATGACTGAAATCTCCCATCTGTCTCTGCTCAGGGCAGGTAACCCCTGCTAAGCAGACACCCAGTTGGCTCGAGGCAGTACCCCAGGCACCGGCAGGACAAGGGCAATGATCTCCCAGCCTAGATGTGTCCTGAGCCACATGGAGCACACAGTAGGTGTTTACTTAAGGACGGGGGCTACCCCTTCCAGGGAAGTTCCGAACCACTTAAAACCCATAGGAAGTGTTCAATGTCTGTTTACGGAATGAATGAAAGGAAGTGTGTGTCACTCAGATACTTATAAAACGGTCTCGAGATCCTAAACTCCAAGCAAGCTTCTCCAGCTCTTTCCAGCCCTTTTTCTCCCTCTATTTCCCATGACCATAACCCAGTTCTGTCTTTTTCCTATTTTGAACTTTCCAGACTCAGAAATTTGGCTCTTAATGTTCCCTGCCCTTGAACCGTCCCAGCCCTCTCCAAAACAGCCTTCAGCTGCGTGGGAGGGAGGGGTAGCAAAGTGGAAAGTGTTTCAGAGTGAGTGCTAATTCTGGTTCTGCCACTTACTCATTGTACTTCACCTCTCTGTTCTTAACCTTTCTCTCATATGTAAACCACACGAGGTTCTTGGGAAGATTAAATAAGAAAACATGGTGAAAATGTATTGCACGGTACTTGACTCGTTTAATTAGCGACAGACAGTGTTTTAGGTAACGGAGATACAATGGTGCTCAAGGCAGGCAAGATTCCTGCTCCCAAAGAATTTAATTTCCAAGAGACAAGAAGCAAGCTAGCGAATATGTAAGATAATCTTAGTTAGGGATCAGTGCTCAGCAAAAATAAAAAATGTATGGAGAGGGACTGAGGGGAGTGAGGAACTCCTTGAGGAGGCACCACTCTGAGACCCAAATGACAAGAAGGAACTAACCACATGAAATCTGGGGGAATGACATTCTGGAAAGAGGGTAAAGAATTGTTGCTAAGAAGATGTGGGCGTGTTAAAAAAAAATTGCAAAGTCCCTGAGGTACGACTGAGCTCCTCGTGATCAATTTGAGGCTTCTGCTCTTGTGTCTTGTAGGTGAACGGGGTAAGGTTTGGTAGGACTGAAAAATTCATCCAGCCACCTATCTAGGGAGTGCGAGGGTCAAGATGTGGACCCAGGTCTTCTGCCCTTGAGAGCAGAGTGCTTGTCACTACAGCACAAAGAAGGTGTAAGAGAAAGGAAAAGTGAGTGGGAGGTGGTGAGGGAGGAACAGACTGCCTTGTCCTCCACCAGATCTAAATCTGTCTCCTCCTTACGGTTGGCAGGATTATAGGATCTGGCTCCCATGAAGGCCTTCCACCTCCGCTGGCCTAAGCTGTCAGTGTCAGAGAGCACTGGCCCTAACAGCTCCCTTACCAGAGCAGCTGTGATTCCTTCTTCATTTCCAGCAGGGACGACCCAATAACTTTTACAGTATGGGATTTCTTTTTTCTCATGATAATAATGTTCATTGTGGAAAAAAAAATGATAAAATAAAAATCAGCTAGAATTCCAACTTCTGGCAATTTGGGTGTCTATCTTTCTGCAAAGTTCCTATACGCATACTTTATAAAATTACGAACATACTGCACATACAGTTTTGGAATATGCCTTTTGCCTTCTGTCATGAAAAAAGTCTTCAAATGCCTTTTAACAGCTACACAATAGTTCACTACATGAATCAACTCAAATGTAACTATTTTTGGCCTTTTATTATAAATAACACAGAGAACCCTCAGTCTTTTTTACATAATGTCCTAACAGAGTAGGGAAAATGCTCCCCAATCCGGTGCAATGTCCTGTGCCCAGGGAAACACATTTTTTCTTTTCTTTTTTTTTTAAAGACGGAGTTTCGCTCTTGTCACCCAGGCTGGAGTGCAGTGGCACAATCTCGGCTCACTGCAACCTCTGCCTCCTGGGTTCAAGCGATTCTCCTGCCTCAGCCTCCTGAATAGTGGGGACTACAGGTGTGCACCACCACGCCCGGCTAATTTTTGTACTTTTAGTAGAGACGAGGTCTCACTATGTAGGCCAGGCTGGTCCATCTTCTTAGTTGGTGGGAACAGGGACATCTACACTCCCAAACACCTTGCCCTTAAGTGTATAGCACAGTTTATTGTCGTTTTCTTCTGAGAAATGGAGATTGTTGCACTTTCCCCAAATTTACCTTCATTCTCAGCCTCTCCTTGTCATTGTAATCCCAGAAAAGATACAATGGGGAAAAAGGGGAGAAAGAAGGGGGGATGTAATTTGATGCTACATTCTGAAACAATACACATATTGGAGACACATGAATATTCTTTAGCAATATTTTTATTAAATGATAAATTGCCAGGCAGGCAAGAGGTCCAGGATCAAGCCCTGGTCTCAGTATGCCAGAGTCTAAGGTGACTATGTTTGGTTTCTGCAGGGGCCTGCCATGGAGGCAGGCAAGGGAGGGAGGAGTCAGTGGTTCTAATCATTGGAGGGTGTTGGGGGTGGAGTCAGGGTAACCCATCTGTAGTAGGCCTGGAGAACAAACCTGGCAGCTGGGGCATGACTGGGAAAGCACTTGAGGACCTGGGTGGGGGCCGACATTCGTTTGCACTGGTGCTGGGAGGGTGGTCTGCCGCCTGTGAGTGGTGCTCAGGTTTAAAGCTCCTCCTTGGGGCCACTGCCATCACCATGTCTCTGGTTTCTTGCTTGGCCTGGAAAAAAGAAATCGAACCAGAGAGAGAGAAGGGCACAGCAAAAGAGACAACGAGGAGAACAGTGTGAAAGTGAGAAAAAGGAGACAGAGGGTAAAATAAGTCAAGGCAGGGAGGCAGGTGCTTTGACAAGTGGAATCTTTTTGGTAGACATTTAAGCAGCAAGAGGCACTTTTGGTCCTGGACAAGCTTATTACACATCCACAGTTGATGAGCTCTCAAGGGCCAATGACAAGTATTCAGATATCCAGTGGATCAGGGAAATGGCGTTTGCCAACTCTACTGACTACAGACCCTGCCTCTAAACTGATTTGGTGCCCTCTTTCTGCAAATCAATTTCTCAAACTTTCTGGGAGCCGGTTATTTCTCAGTGGAGCAGACGATGAACCAGTGCTAGGGAACAGGTCTTCTGGGGAGGGACTGAAATGCAGAAAAAATTTTGGTGGCCTGGGCTAGATTCAGGAGGTGGGAGGAGGGAAGCGCTGGGGAGAAAGAATCTGGGGAAAAGGAAAGGAGAGAGGAGGAGGGGTGGGTGTGAGTGGAAGAGTTCCGCCCTCCTTACCCATGCTCACCTCTCGCTGCCAAATAATTGTACTGTCTTCTTTTCAGGCTGCAGGAAATGGTATTCACTGGAAAAGTCCAACAGTCATTGTCAGCTTCTGAGGCGTATGAATGGGGTACGGGGAGAGGCCTTGGTGTTGGTTGGGAAAACCGAGGGCAGCAAATGCAGGGCCCTCACTCTTACTATGGGAACACATCTCCATTCAAATTGGTGAGAAGAGAATGAATGTTTCAAAAGGACCTTTTATCAGGAAACTACAGGAAAGAATCAGAACAATCCATAAGTGGGGTTAAAGGATATTCTTCATTCTCAATAGCTTTTTCCTCTCCGCCTAACCCTGTTTGAGTGGACAGTGGACTAAAATATTTCCTCTATTTTTTTTTTTTTTAAAGACAGGGTCTCACTCTATCACCCAGGCTGGAGTTCAGTGGTGCAATCTCGGCTCACTGCAGCCTCCAGCTCCCGGGTTCAAGCGATTCTCATGCCTCAGCCTCCCGAGTAGCTAAGTAGCTGGGATTACAGGCGCCCGCCACCACGCCTGACTAATCTTTGTATTTTTAGTAGAGACGGGGTCTCTCTATATTGGCCAGGCTGGTCTCGAACTCCTGTCCTCAAGTGATCTGCCCGCCTTGGCTTCCCAAAGTGCTGGGATTACAGGCATGAGCCTCCACGCTCGGTCATCCTTTATTTTTTGAGTTCACACTCAGAGGCCCTTCTGGTAAGCAACCACTTCCCTTCACCCTCCAAGCTCTCCCTTTGGCCGAAGGGCATCTCTCCTTCTTTCCTTTTGAGCATCCTCCTGGCTCTGGATCCTGGAAGTGCTTCTGTACTCTGGTCCTTTCCCTGACGTTCACAATTAACTAGCCTGTGGATAATCTGGGTTCTCCCGTTCTTGAGGCAGGGCGTCTTCCAAAATATCCAAAAGCAAAGGAGTAGAAAGATCATGGGGAATCAACCCTCTCCTTATGAAAAGGCAACTGAGCCCCAGGATGAGGAAGAGACTCGCCCAGGGTCACAGAGTGAGGGAACGGTAAGCGTGGGGGCAGAATACAGCCAGCGCAGCCTACCTAGCACTACTACTATTAATAGAACCCATTAGTAGGTGCTAAGCCTTTTCCCCTTCCCCGTCCAAAGGCTCTAACCTGCGTGTGGGTCTAGGCTGATGCTACCGTCCCCTCCCCATTCCCCAAGCCTGTGACGTCCAGGCCCTGGCAGTGAGACCAGCAGGTGTGGGCATCAGGAACTTCTCCAGTGGCTCAAATAGCCGGGAGCGATTGGCCTGTCCTCCAACCTCAGTTTGTGTCAGGGATTGCTGCTCATTGGCCTAGCAGAAGTGATTGACAGGTCAATAGCCCAATGAATGATGAGCCTTGGAAGCGTGGTAACAGTTACTAGTCAGTTCTTGCTTCGCGAGATCCTGGGGTAACGGTTTTCTTTTTTTCCGAAGTTGATTCAGCCATTTTTCACACTCAAAATCCAGCGTCTTCTCAGTAAAGGGTGTAAAGCAATTTTCGGCCCCAAAGAAAGAATGCGTTTGGGGCTCTAAAAGTACAAACGAACCCTTCAAGAGAAAATAAGAGTGTCGTATTGAATGAATCACTTAATAAAGGGGGTTTTGCTTTGCTAAACAGTTGGTGGGCAAGTGAGTGGGCAGGAGGGAGGGAAAGATGGCCAGGAATGGGGACAGAGGAGTCAGGCAGCAGAAGACTGGAGTCAAAAGTGCTTATTGCAGTTCTTGTAACCTGTGTGAAATGCTGTGGCCATTCTTGGGGCCTGGATAGGTTCTGGGACCTGGGGAAAAGGATGGGGTCACTTCTGGGGACTCTTAAGGTCCAGGAATCGGGGCTAAACTGGCAATGGGGTGATGAGGCAGTGCTTGTGGTAACAGCTGGCTTGGATGGTGAAAAAGGTAGCCTGGACCATGAGATAATTCCTGAGAGTAGCTAGTGATGGTCAGATAAAAGGAGTGGCCCATCCTTGAAGGGTGTAGTCACATAAGATGGGGTCCCTGGAAGAATGACAGTGGATCACCCCATAACTGGTTAGAAGATGGAGTTGGAGATAAAGAGAGATGAGACAGGGAGTTGAGAGATGGAAAGTTTGACAAAGGAGAGAGAGTGTCACAAGGACTGAGAGCTGGAGTCCCAGAAAAGCTGAGCAAACCATGCTTGGTACATAGTTGTCACTCAGTAAGTGCTAGCTATTATTATTGCTCCCTTTGGGAGGGGAGGGGGGTTTAAGTCTGGTAGTTCAAAGGCAGTAGGAGGCAGTGAGTGGAGAACTAAAAGAGTGCCAGGAAAATAGGCCATTCTAGTTGTCTGTTTCTCTCCCCACTGTGATTATGAGAATTGCAGAAGCCACTCCTTCATTGGGGGAATGAGAGGGAAGAATTGAAGTAAAGAGAGGGTGCTGGTATATTCTGCAGCTGGAAACCCAAAGGATGGGAAGTAGGAATGGGGAGAGGCTGCCCTTGCAAGTGTCTTTGATAGAGCCTGTTAGAAGTGAGGTAAAAAAGGAGGGAACAGGTGAGAAGTAGAATGGGTTGTGGCATGGTTAGGCCCTGGGTGAACCGTGTACGTTATACATAACTGTTGTTGTGATTGCTGGAGTGGGGTCGTGGGGAGGAGCCCCTCTAGTTGTCTCTCTTGGGAAAAGGGAATGGTGATGAGATTCAAGACTCCATTGGAAATTCCCAACAATCATTGCCATAAATGTCAACTGACTCAGGGACCACACATTTCTGAGGGAAGAGAGGAAAAGACTCTTCTAAATTTTCTATTTGACAAGCAGGGTGTGTACCAACAGAGGCTCCTAAATAGAGAGTGCATAGTACAGTTCATACAGGTTCTGAACAGAAAAAAATGAAACTCCTGATGTCAATACTGCATTTCCCTTGACCTTCCTACCCTCACTAGTGTGTGCTCTCTTTTTAGCAAGTCATTGAATGATTGGCATTTGTTGGGAGGAGTGCAGACTGCGCAGCTCTGAGGTAGCTAAGAGAAGGTGATGTTGAAGGAAGAGCAAAGAGTGCTTTTGATTCCCCAAATTACACTTAAATATGTATCTGTGGGGAACCAACAAGCTCTCTTTGAGCAACAGTTGAAATGCAAAGCCATCTGGACTAGCCTACGACCTAAGGAACTCTCTTCTATAATGTCTGGGGGAAAAGCAAGTAGGGAAAGGGGAAGATAAGGTAGGCCAGAGAGAGGGGAGACACAGAGAAGAAGGCAGAGACAAGATGGAGAGATCAGTGACAGCAGAGGCTGAGGCTGGACCGAGAGGGTTACGAGAGACAGCCCTGGAATGAGCTAGTTAACTTACTTGCCAAATCTTCAAAGTCTTTTCTATTTCTATTTCCACTGAATATGGTTCTCCTAATTTACAAAGGAAATTTATACAGTCTTCCATGATTCAAGAAAGGCTTGCATTTACTGACTTCTACCCACTTGATGTAAACGGTTCAGAATTTTGTTGAGGCTCCCAGGAAACTCCTGATGATCTTGCTCATGGTGTTCAGATCTGGGTGGGGCAGATGAGCTAGGCAGTGGGGTGCTTGTGGGAGCCAAAGCTTGGAAGTTGGTTTCTGGAAGGTGCTCTCATTTCTTGTCTCCATGGATCGAGGGCTAAACAAGCCATTGGATAGGAGTGGAGTGGAGTGAGTCTCCTCATTAGCATGCTGGGAGGTGGCATGGACTGTGGCATCGCAGTTGAGGTGCTAAGGTGGAGATAATAGCATCATGATAGAGGCCGTTGGCCTTGCAGTGGAGAGAACCTGATGGAGCGCAGGAGTGGGGAGTGAGGGTAAACTGGCCCTCAATGAGGGCTAGTTTCTGATTATGGTGGATATTTTACTCATAGTCAATGACTAGAAGTGTTTCTGATAATCTGAGTAAGGTCGTAGGCAAGGGGCTGGGAGGAAAGTAGGGCCTGGGTAAGGAGGGCACAGGTACTGAGCAGGGCCCTGAAGCCACCTGTTGCTAGTCTGGAAAGGTACTCTCCCCTCCCCTCAGAAGGAAATCAAATAGGCCTGACGGGGTCAGGGGCAGAGTCAGAGATGGAGAATAGGAAATAAACAGATGATGGCGAGAGAGGCAAACGAGTGTGATGGAGAATCATGAGAGATGGCAGGCCATTGAGCTGACTCTTCAGGTCATCTAAGGATGTCTCTTTTTGCTCCTGTTTCCCCCTGAGATGATTCTAATAAAACACCAAGGGTGATTAAAATGGATCTAGGGTTTGGGGCTTCAGAAAATGGCCTTTTTTCATTTACGGTACTGACTTCCACTAAACCCTCTCCATGCGTGGAAGCTTGTATGCAACAGAACATGGGTTTTCAGCTTGGAAGGGTAAACGACTCTCCTGTGCGGTGGCCTTGTCTCAGTGACTCCAAATATGGGAAATGTCCAGGAGGAGGGAGTTATTGACACGCTGGAAGTTAGTTATCCCCTGATTTCATGAACTTTATCTCCTAGTTCTTCCCTCTGCCGGTGGGAAGTGGTGACAGGGTCTGATGGTCACCAGGAGGCTCTGAGGAGGTTGGGGAGAAGGCAGGCAGGCAGAGAAACCCAGCTGGTGGCAGGGCGGCAGGTGGGTGCATGAGTCCTCTACCTCCTTCTGCCCCTCCCGGGTTGTGTTCTGTAGCTGGACTTTCTGTGAGATTCAACTTCCCGGCCTTCCCAGCCCCCTAAGCCTGTCACCTGTCTTGTGTCTTGCAGTAAAGTGAGGAGCAGGGAGCAGGAGAGGGGGAGAGAACAGGAGGGACAGGGATGGGGAGAAACCGAACCAAGGTGATACATGCAGAGACAGAAAGACAGATCTACTGAACAGTGGCGCCGCCTCTGCGTCTCTTCTGTTGCTTTTCTTCATAAATGATTATGCTCATTTTCCAGGGATCTTTGTGTCCTCCATCAAGGATTTAGAGCCCAAGCATCACACTTCCTGAGCTGAACTTGCCCAACTTGCATGTAGTGCCCTTACTTGCTAAAAAGTAGGTACCTCAGCTTATGAAGAGTTGAAGTGATTCCGAGACAAGGGGTTTGCACTAGGTCGTAGACAATGTGAGGGCACTCCTGAGAGGTAAACACTGCCAGCTGCCCACTTTCCCTTCCACGTGGACAAACACAGGAAAAGGAGGGGAGGGGAGAAAATGAGGAGTAGGAGGCAGGAAGGAATTGTGAGTCCTTACTCTCTCCAAATCTGCTGCAGTCGCCTGGTTGAGAGAGGGTAAAAGAGCATAGAGGAAGGTGGACAGGCCTGGATAGAAGAGGTGATGAAAATAAAATGGGAATGCCTGAGGGTGAGGTCTCTGTGTCACTTTGCTCCTTGGGTAGTCGTGTTATGTAATGGGTAAGCCTGTCTCCAGGCACCAGAAATGAGATGAGCCTCCTGATCCCCATCTGAGTACCCTGAATTATTTCTTCTACTTGTGGCATAATTGGAACTTGATGCTTTTAAGATTCAGGAGTGAGGTTTTGGGTGAATTGTTTTCCTATTTAGGGATGGGAGGAATACCTTCTAATGTGTCGTAAGATTCAAAGGAAGCAGAAACTCCCCATCCTATACTATTGCCCTTCCTTGATCCCAGCCCTCCGTTCTTCCTCCAAAGTCCCCTCTGATGAGATACATGTAACAGGCAGGAGGGAAGAGGCTGCAAAGTTGTCTGCCAGCCTTATTGCCATGGGAGTGAGCACACCCCTTTGCACCACAGCAGCCTAGGACAAGACTGGAATTTTTCAAAACTTTTACAGGGAAACAAAGGTTAAAAGCAAATAAAATAAGATGGTGTGAAAAAATTAGAGCCAACGGGGCTTTTGACTGGCTGGCAACCTGGTGTGATACTAAACTTTGCCGTCAGCTGTTTGGCTCTATTGGATTCCCCAACCCGTTCTCATCTTGGTCTTGTGGAAGTGGATTCTTTGCAGAGCCCTGGGGTCATCTCCTCCGTTCTTTGGTCACTGTAGGTAGGGCAGGGCTTTCTCCATCTCACCTCCTGTCTCTTTCCTCTGTTTTGTGGTCTTGCACTCTGGCCCAGATCTCTTCTCTTGGTTGAGTAGTTGGGGTGTAAAGCCTTGTTATTCCCTAGTTTTAACCTGTGTAGGGGCCATTTTGGGGGTGGGGTGGGGAGTTAGGCTGTGCGTAGAGATGTCAGGTCATTAGCAAAGGAAATAAAATGCTGTTGGAAGCTCACATTTCATCTCTGTTCCCCTTTTGAAGACTCCTAAAATGTCCCCTCCCCTGTCTTCGCTGTCCTTCCAATGGTTACAGAATCCAGTCTTTACAGTTTTACGAAATTAATACTAAAAATACATTACTGCTGAAAGGAATTTTTCTCAAAGGAAAATAGGGCTCATTTCTTCACAGAGAAGACAAAGCTGGAGCCTAATAATATACACTAAACCTCAAAGAAAATGTGAACACACTGAATATTTAACCTAAAAGTATATGTTAGGTAGGTTAATATGATATACAAATAAAAGAGTTAATTCATGCAAATGCTAAAATGGTAGGCAGGCCGGTGGGAGGAGAGCGGGCAGGGCGCGGCTGCCTTAGCCAGCTCTGGGGTCTAGCGGTCTCAGCGGGTATCTCCTTGGATGTTGGTAGGCTTATGGATGTGTGGCCTTGGCCTCGGGGGGCCTTCCTGGGCAATAGGTGAGGGATGTGGGTGGCAGAGCCTGAAGTCTGAGTGACTCCAGGCAGGCTAAGATACTCTGTGATGGGGTGCCTGACGGGGGTCAGTAAGCCTCAGGAAGTCTTGGGGGTGACACTGAAGGCGACTCAGGGGATAGGAGCAAATGTGTTGCAAAGGCAGATTCCTGGGAACAGAGAGAGGAAGGCTGGGGAATGATGCAGCTCTTGAAGTAAACTGTCCGTGTCCTGGCTGGAGGCTGGAGTCGTGGGGGAACCATGGCCACCCTAGAAGGCCCCGCTGGAGGCCCCATTATAACAGCCCTGTGGCGCACACCTCAGAGGCCAAGGCAGTTTCTTGCCAGGTCACTGAGTCGTGGATGGAATGGGAGTCATGATGGTGGCATGGGGGTAATTTACTAAAGAAATACATTATGTTCCTGGGTATGTGTACCTTTTTAGGGAGGACGAGCGAGGAATAAGACTCGTGTCTGTGCCTGATCCCGTGGGGTGCTGGAGGAAAGGGCACTTTGGCACCACATCCTCTTTCTCTAGTTCTCCAGGGGGCCAAGCTCTTCCCCCCACCAGCTGGCTCCTCTCTGATATCGGGTTAGATGAGGTTAATTGACCAGCAAGGGAAGGCAGTGAGGAAAAAGACTGCTTCATTGAGGAACAATAGAAGAATAAATTTTCCAGTCTGGAATTGTAAATGCGACCACTGAGGAGAAACAGCAGCTTCGACAGACAAGATAACACATTAAGGAGGTCAGGGAGTGGGCCGGGTGCAGTGTCACAGGGGCCGGGGCCTTCAGCAGGCTGGAGTCTAAGGTGCCTATGTTTGGCTGCTGCAACAGACCTGATAGGCCTCTCAAGTTTGTCAGGGAAGTATGGGAAGCATCCATGAACTAGGGCCCACAGGATGATGTGTCTGGTCTTCCTGTGGACCTGTGGATGATAGGTAGGGAAGCATGTGGGCAGCTAGAACAATGCAATGGTAGGAAGTACTAGGGACCATCTTCTTTCCACGCCTCCTGTGTGGCTTTATGTGGCTACCTGAGGCTAAGGGGTTGGTAAAACGCTTCTGAATCCCTAATGTCAGTTCCACTTCCTCTGGAGAGCCGGCGTTGAGAGAGCAGAGGGGAGCATGTCTGCAGGAAGCAGGGGAGGCATGGAAAAAAATTCAAGTAGATAAAGGTGGATAGACAGCCTGGAGAAGGGAGGCAACTAAGCCTTTTAAGTTGCTCTTGTATTCCATTGAAAATAGTTCAGCCAATTCACAGAGCATAGTCATAGCATTTTTAGAACCCTGCAGGCCTCAGGAAAAACTGTTTATTTACACTGTGCATTTCACATGAATCCTCTCAGCTGGAAAAGGTGTTCACTTTCACAGAAGCAGGCTGGAACTCGATCCATATTCCTTCCTTCCGGTTTCCTGGTTTGCTGTGGGAAGGTGGGAGGAGCAGTGGGCCACAGGGAGGGACGGCCCTGCCAGATGTCTTCTTTTTCTCTTTCTTGGGGTGTAACAGAACAAAAAGAATGTCTGCAATTTTTTTGGGTGAGCCATAAAAGAGGGCTGTAAAAGGCAGAGGGCTAGAGTGTGGGAAGGGGTAGGGTTAGGAGTCGAAAAACGAGAAGAAAGAAAAGGA